GTCAAAGTTTCAATCCAGTTCATATGCCAGACTTTGTAAGTTGAGGGTGTGTGTGTGGGTGTGGTTGAGGGTGAGTAAAGAGAGCAACGATACCCACACTCACAACCTCATCCTCATCCACACCCACACCCAGCCATCACTAATGTAAAACTTCTAATTTTCAGAAAACTAGTCGGCCACTGTCTCCTCCAAGGCCGCGTTTTGATGATAGAAAATTATCGAAAAAAGATCATCTTACCTATCGCTTACTTCTTCACCCTGTTCCAAAGACATGTTCCATTCGTACAATCACTAATCATTCGGTATTCGACGGTAAAGTGTCTAATTATGAACAATATGGAGAAAATCTTATTCTTGATCTTTCAAGCAAAACTATATTTGAGCAATGTATACATTATGCAGCGGTAAAAATTGAGAACTGTCTTTTTCACATGGAAGAATATGTAGGTACTCATGAGCCAACTAGTATGGCGGAGATCAATGCTGAGACTTGGTATAAAACAGAAATGCTTCGATATCAACCAGACATTAAACAATTTATGAGCAACCTTCAACACATCATATTTCATTCCAGATGGAATGCTCAGATATGGCTCGAGCAATTTCAACGTATTGCATCTCATCAAAATCATAAAATTTGTCATTTACTTCGTATGACAGTGATGTTGAATACTATTGGCACAATATGTCAGAGAAGTTACACGATCAATGATCGAGAAATCAGATTGAAAGTAAGTAATCAAATGAAAACAATTATTTACGATCATCGATCAAAACTGGTACATGCTGGAGAAATACCGATAACAGTCACACCGTACAAAACGACTGTTGTCGAAGTCGTTAAAGACAACGGTATTGATGTTTATGAACGCTTAGTTAAGAATGGTAAACGACCACTTCTTCTGCAAATGACAAATTGGAAATATCCCGGTAGTGAATATCAAAGCAATAATGCAACTCAAGAAGAATGTCTCTTTCGACAGTCCGATTATATTCGAAGTCTTAACGTCGATCTCGATCGCGTTCATCAAGAACGACCGAATCGTGTTCATTGTTCGGCTGATTGTCGATTGAATTCTTTATCTGATCAGAAAGATTTACATAGAATTGATGAATTCGGTGCAATTTACACATCAGGTGTGACCATCTTTCGTCGAGGAGAAGAAACCGGTTATGCCTGCATGGAAAAACCAGTAGAAAATGTCTGCGTAATAACAACAAGTGCCTATGACAAACCCAGCCTAGTAAATGGCATGCTGCCGACCAAATATGCTATGGGGACACGAAAAAAAATCGAAAATATATTTGCTATCGCTTATCATCACAAACATGATTGTCTTGTTTTATCAAGTTTCGCTTGTGAAATAAATGAAAATCCCGTCGATCATATCGTGCAATTGTTTTCTTCAGTCATCGAACAATATGGTGGATTTTTTAAATCAATCCTATTCGCCATTCCTGATGATCGTGACCTTAATCGTCATCCCAATTCGAAAAGAACGTACCGAACATTTCAAAAACTTGATGGTACAGTAAATTCCATCACGCTCATGAAAAGAGCTAATACTATATTTGGACCTTATCGAATATTATCCGACAATAAAATGGCCAATCATATTTGCATATGCGATTTACCACCATGTCAGTTCGGTGGCAAATGCAACGAGAGAATTAATCCAAATCATATACAAAAATTCTCTCATCCACCTTTATGCGTCAAAGCTTCTCTGACTGGCAAATGTGATCAGATGGATAATGTCGTTCATATCTCTTCATATCTTCATCAAGTTCAATGTCGATATGGCGGTGAATGTCGAGAGATTGATAATGAAAAACATAGTCAACAATTTGAGCATCCATCGTTTTGTTCAGCAGGAGGTACTTGCGCGAATGTCAGTGAAGAACATCTCCGAAATCATCGTCATTTACCATTGTGTAACTATGGGCGCGATTGTCTAGATTTGAAAAAACAAATTAGAGCACATTGTAATTCGTATCGTCATTGTACACCAAATTGTCCACACAAAGATTATTGTGCGGATTTTCACGATAAGAAACATATGGATACCTATCAACATCCGTTTCCACCTGTTTGTCCTTTCACTCCATATCATTGTCAATTTCATAATGAGTTAACACAAGCATCCGACAGTCACAAAGTTTCAAACGAAGCTCAACAACATTGTTTGGATTTTGCCCATCTTTGTAGATTTGGTCGTAATTGTACCAGTACAAATTCATTACATACGAGAACATCAGTTCATGTAGCTCGGTGTCTTTGTCCAAATGGTGATAAGTGTACTCTACTTAATCAAGAAGAACATTTAAATTCATTTACACATGAGACGATCTTTGATATTCGACGTTTGTGTAAATTTTCTAACGAATGTCGGGATCGTGGTAAATTGGAACATACGAGTAAATTTCGGCATGATCTTCGCTCGGATGATAGCGGTGTTGTTCGATGTTTTGGTTTGAACAAGGATATTGATTTTGTTCAGAATCAAACAGCAACTCTGACACGTGTGCAACACTATATTGATAGTCAAAAATGGGAACCATTATCATCAGAATCTATTCTACAAAAAATTCTTCGTTGGTTACGTACTGTTCAACCTGTTCATCGGTGTAATCCGGTTATATTCGAATCGATCATTCTTCATGGACATGTCATGAGTCGATCCTATATGGAGAAATTGAAAAGACCACAGTTTGTAGCTAATTCTGTTTTGCATCATAGTCGCATACGACGTATTGAAGCTTTATCTGTTCAATCAATGGAACACCGTACCAAAGAATATATTACTGCTTTAGTTGAAGCCGAATTCGATAAGAATGGTTTTCCAAGTTCAGGTCAACCGACAACAACAACAACAACCGATAAAGCCATTGATACAACTTTGACGAACGCATCGGCTCACGCAATTGCAACAAAGAGAAAAGAAAACTTGATATCAGCTTCGATTTCATCAAATGATATGGATGTAATACGCAGAATAACAATGGAAATTGCTCAAGCTTCGATTAAACTACATTCAAATCCAGCTGGAATTGGTTACTCAAGAGATGTACTGCTAGGAACTGACAGAACGATTTTCAGTGTGCTCGGCCCGCATCTGGGGCACTACTATGGGGACGTTGTCATTGTTTTCAAACGTGAAATCTTGCATCATCCAGATGCAGAATTTTCTATTCAAGCAGGAACTTCATTTGCTAGTGGAAACGCATATTCTTGGCGTCCATGGCTAGGTTCTGATCCTGGTTCTGACGATGAAAGAATCAAACTATTTCATCATTCGAAATTCCATGCATCTGTACCTGGCTATGATTATGCCGTTGCTTTGGAATTAATGGCTATGACAAGTTCGTATTTTAACAAGGCAACAATGAATATTGATCTTCAAACAATCATACAACGGTGGTTACTAGCTGATTCACACCAAAATATTGAAGCTCACTTGCCTCAACTCATTCCATTGGATTATATTGATCATATTTATATGCCACA